GGGTTATTTGTCTTCATATTAGCTGCATGATTTGTTTTTTGAGCTTCCACGTCATCGGTCTTCATCATCATTATCATCATCTTCATTGTTATATCATTATTATCGTCGTCATTATGTTGATAAGTATCATTTTAATTACCTGAAGAGAAGATATGTTTTGTGTACAGCGATCGTTGTTAAGTTTAACAATAAAACAGTAAAATATATTGCTTTAATAATTTGGATTATTGGACTGCAGTTCGGTTAGAACTGTGTATTTCAAAAATGTTATGAAGGATCATTTAGTGTATGAGTGAGCAATTTTGAATGACACATTATGAGTCAATATATTTTTTTGATTTTCACATCTGTTTTTAATCTAAAAGACCATTTCAAGCAAAGCATTTGATGATTATGGGTGGAAGATAAAGGTAGAAGAATTGTCCGTGTCAAAGGAATGTTTGGCACTGTTTGACGCTGCACTCTTTCATCTTTTGCTTTGTCGTTTTGTCATTAAGAGTGCATTGTTTGTCATTTTTCAAATGAGATAAGTTTTTCTCTTCTATTATTTATCTATGACCTTTTTATTGATCGCATTTGTCCTATTTAAACCATAAGCGGAATGTGCTTGACACAAAGTTGATACATATTACAATGCCGAATGATAACTGTCACCAATAGATGCTCTGTGAGTTTATTATTGTCATCTAATAAGATTATGATTTTTCATTGATATCAGACTGAACAACGAATGAGTTGTATTAAAGTTGAGACCATGGTGTCTATTTTAGAATAGTTGTTTTATACTTCATTAATTGTTTAATTATTATATTACAAGGTGCATATATCAGCATTTTTTTGGCACAGAGAGTACTAAAAGGATTCTTTTGTTTGTTGAAGCGAAATTGATTTCATTTAAATCCACCGACAGAAATTGTAAATACCTACGAGGTTTAGTTTTTTAAGCGTTTGTTTCTTTTATCTTTAGACATGTTGGGTTAATGAAAACCAGATTTGTATACAATCATTATTTAAATGACAGTACTTTGTGGAAGTTTTGAGAATTTATACGGAACTAGTTCAGTACTTTTCGTTACTCTCTACTCTACCAGAATTTATGTTGAGGGAAGAATCGAGCGACCCATGGCGGTGGTGTCTTTTAATCATGGAAGATAGGTGAAAGCATCCACAAACTTTCTACGCTTTTTTCTTCACTGAAATGAAAGCAGAAGATTCGAAACTTGTTTTACTGTTTTTCACTTTTCTGCGCTATCTTTCATCATTGAAAGATTAAAAGTTTCTTAAGATTTCATATACTGTGTTTGTATTTGTATCTGATCTATTAAATCAGACAAGTGGACATTGGTATTAATATTGTCCTTCTGCGATGAAACAAGTGATTGGATGAATCTTTCTCCCTCTCTTCCTTTTTTTCTATATTTATTATTATAGGAACCACTTTTATAATTATTATCTCCCAGTAAGTAAGATGAATTATTTTTCATTGTTTTTATGGTCTTATTTCTTAGATTTAGTCCAAAAAGTAAAGTAAGACGAATGATTTCCGAGTTTTTGTCAAGGTTTAATGAAAGAAGAGATGAAGTAAGTGGACCGACATAATGCCATTATTTTAAATTATAATATAAAAATAGAAAATGCTGCCAGGTAAGAATGATTAGTTTCTGTTTGCATTTTTTTCACATACACTGTTGCTGTAATATATCTGTATGTTAATTTGTCGATAATAATAATTAATTGTTAAAAGGACTGTTCTAAGCAAATACTTTTCTTTGTTTCTCTCATTATTCGCATAATAAACCATTAATCTTTCATCATTTGCTGTGATGAAAGATTAATGGTTTATTATGCGTATTAATCATTTTGATGATTTTTCTATCAAGAAATTATATTTTTCATCGAAAATTTATTTTGGATTTTATGATAGTTGTACTAATTAAGCAAGATTAATATGAGATCTTATGAGTTTTCTACCTGTAAGCTTTTCATTTATGATGGTACTTGTATTTCCGTGAAGGGTTATTCTTCGACGAGAAATTTTCTTTTTTCTGATGACCTCTGAAACCTTAACATGATGGAAAAATGAAACCCAAACATCAAAGAAGTACATTTAATCATTTTATAAGATATTTCTAAATCGTTGACAGCCGATCATTAAGTTTGTCAAAGATTGTTTCTCTTTGATTATTTTCAATAAATTTTTGACTTGAAAAAAGTTGAGATATAGAAATAGATAATTTAGCTTCTATATTTACTGTTTTAAGTTTGCTGCTAATTGTTGGACAACAATTGAGAATGTTTTAATTAATAATACCTTTCATGTGCCTACAAGAAACTTTCCATTACTTAATAAATGCTTTTTTATAATTTCGTGACCATTCTAATGAACTAAATGGATTTATTTAATGGCCGATTAGCACTATTGAATCTGCTAACCTATCTATAGGATTGTTTTGCTTTTTACATGGCTATTAAGCCAAATAGTGGTCTCTCTACAGTTATGGAAGAGAAATGAAGGATGAAAATTTTTCGGATCTACCATTTTGACAGTTTCGGTTTATCGTGTTGCTACATAAAAATTGAAACCTTTTAAAATGTTTTGAAAACAGTCAATTTCAAACATCTTATATCAAAGTGCGACGATATTTTTCCTAATTTAATCAATCAGGACTTCCTTAAATTTTTGCGAAATCTTATATGCAGAAATTTTATTTCCCTACATTAATGTAAAGATCATCAATTTCCATATTTAAGGACTTTTCGAGTAGGATGGGAGAAAGGGGATTGATTTTGGTGTCATCGATTGAGTCGGAGAGATTTATCGCACTGAAAGAATAAGGTGAAACAAAATTTGCATTGCTGTGCAAAGTAATATTTACTAACAAATTTTGCTGTTCAAAAAGCAAAGTGACTGCTGTATGATGAATTCACCACTAACTGAACGATTTATTTGCAATCTGGCATCTGTACAACAAACAATAACACTGTCGCAGTTGGCTTGACGATAATGTACTTCAGAAATGTATCAGTAGTAAAGGATGTTTATTGCTTACTTCTCATTTCTACTTGATAAGGAAATATGTTTGCTAATAGCTAAGTTACCAGTACTGTTATCACAACCTTTATATATCTTTCATCTGTATTATTTTCTGCAAGTCAGTTAAAATAGATAATCGGTAGTAATAAAAATATTATTAATGATGATTGAAATTATCGTAATGCTTCTTAAGTTTCACACTCGTAAACATTATTATCAACTCTTTGCTGATTATTTGTTATGAGCGGCTGAAATGCATGTTTTAGTATATACTTAGGAATGAGTTTAACTTGTAGTACTTGAACATTTCTGTTTGAAAACAGTCCTTTTGTAATAAATTTGAAGAATAAGTTTTTTATTCCCCAAATTTCCTTTTTAAAAGGTAATATATATTCCAAATTTAGTAAGCAGTTTGAATTAAATTCAAATTTAAATTATATATCAGTTGCCACTATGATACAAAAATCATCAGCTATCTAATTATTTTTCACTGCTTTAAGTACTTACGAAGTTTTTGAGTTAGTAGCATTTTCTTCAGTTTTTTTTTTTTTTACTTACAGTTTTATGACGCAGGGTGAAGTACTGTCTAATCGAATAGATGACAGTATGAGGGGACAATTCATAATTTATTTCCATATATATCTGCGTAATTAGCAGAAACGTTTATTTATCTGTAAATAGTTTCTTGTCCTATTTGATTCCTTACTTCAAAAATCTTAATTTTCTATTCTTCTGTCTTATTTTTTTCTCTGTTCAGTGGAAGATTCTAAGAGACGGTCTGATTTCTAAAAGGCTTTTTGTGCGAAATATGTGCATTCTATAGTGAACGATTAATGTACATTCAAGAATCTTTAGATCCTCTTAAAATTAAACTTGATAGTCCTGTCAGCATGGATCTTTGAGCTGGGAACGTATATTAAGATGTCATAATCAAGCGATTTTCGATTCTTTATTTTTAACAAATATCAACTTTCTTGTACTAATGTAATCCTTTTATTGTCGGATTTGTGAGTTCCTTAAAATTGAAAAGTTCAACATTTATCCTTCTGCTAAGAGAAAAGATCATTGATACTTCCTGTTCGTGTTGCACATAAGATAGGATTATATGTTCCATTATAAATAATAAAAGTGTTATTTGAATGAATGATTTATAAACGCTTAACTCGTACATCGAACTTTAACCTCGTTGAACTTTAACCTCACTATGAAATATATTTGTTCAACATGCGATTCATTTTCAAAAGCTTTTATCTTTACACCGCTAAAAGCATTCACAGAAAGCACAGAGCTTGATAAGGACAGCTTTTTGGACTTTTTAAAAGCTAGGAATGTACTTGTGTGCACACACACACACACACACACACACACACACACACACACACACACACACACACACACACACACACACACACACACACACACACACACACACACACACACACACACACACACACACACACACACACACACACACACACACACACACATGCACATGCACATACAGACACAGACAAAAATACACATGCTGCGACGTATATGTCTGCTTTGCTTCCTCTTTCCTTGTACTTTGAGTCGTCGAATTTCTTCCTTCCTTGTTAACAAGGAGTATTTAAATTCAGAGATATATCGGTATTGCTTAAAGCAGTAAGCTACTCTCTTAATTACTTTTCACTTCCGCTTGAGGGGAGGGATGAATCCTTCTTTTGGTAGATAAATGGATGAGTGGTATGATGACTGACATAAAAATACTAACTATTCTGTAGTCGGAAAGAAACTTACTTACTTTATTTGTTTATGTTATTGAATATGAATATGTAATTATTAAAGATTCGCAGAAGAGCATTTTAGATTTTGAATTAAAAATATTAAAAAAAAAGAAAACCTGAAGAGAAACTTTTTCTAACTAAATGAATTTGATTTCATTTATTATTTCTTTCAGAAAACACTGTCGAAACAAGGAGTTAACATGACAGGTGGAAGTCTCGACAGTCAAAGTTTCGAGTCTCCTCATCTTGGAATCAATAATCGTAAAGGCTTGACAGCAGGTGCAAGGACATCACCAAATTACACCAGTGGTAAAAGTGGCTTCTCCAGAAGCACGAAAACATTAGGCTGGTACTTAACTGATGAATTGTTTCTAAGAAACAACGATACGCAGCAAAATAAAGAAAAGAAGGAAACTGGATCGAGAAGTAAGTTATTTAAATTTAAAAATATACAAGCGACGCAGGTTTTCTGGACATTCCTTCAAATAGTACTGAGAACTTCATTTTATATTTTGCCTTAAGTTTATCTTTAATAATGATAGAATACATTTTGAGATTACATTATTTTTAGCAGAACTTTCATGAAAAAAATTTTGTTGATTCTAAGACCGTTCCGTTGATCATCTGTTACGCTCAACTTAATGTAGAAAATATTAAGCAATCATAATGATTTGGAGAACCTCTTAATTCATCATAGCTTTGAAACGTCAACATTAATCATCATCCTGTCATCCTATTTGTTTTATGTCGTTTTTTATGTATACATACTAGAGTTATTCTAGGAAAACTTGATATCTATCGAGAAAATGAAGCTAATCGCACAAAAATTTCTGTCACATGAAGGGATAATTAACTGCTCTACTAATGAACAGAGACTTTTAGCGATTGATTTTACTCTTTATATTTCATCCATATGTTCAGAATTTTTTCACTGTTTTTTTTAAAAAGACATATCATCGAAGCAAAACATTTATTTAGTCATATGTTTTCATGTCCATTTTTGATGAACAACTTAATTACATTGACAACTGTCATTAATTAGACTGATGTGCTGTTTTTAACATATTTGTGCACATATCCGTCATTTGCGTGCTATTTGCATGCACCTTAGTGTTACTCTAACTATCCTTGTCAATGGTCAGCGTTGGTCAAGTCATTAAATAGATAAGTGGTATGCAACATCGCCATTTGATTCCCAGCTGTAATTTACTGAAAGTTTTTGACCAAAAACTTTTCTTTTCTCTCCCTCTTTCTGTTCTTTTACCTAATCTGCGTACTGTCATCGAAAAGCCTCCAATAAGTACGTTTACGTAATGAAATCTGTTTACATATTTTTGGAATTTATAAACTGGTTTTTTTTTTTTTTGATTTTTTTTCTTCTTTTGTTTTTACTCCTACCTATCCTTTCGTTTATTAGTTAATTAATGAATATCATTGCGTCTTTCAGGTTCATTAGGTTTCGCTTAAATTTTAGGGATTTTTCCTTTGATGTGTTTTTCTGGACATGTTCATTGCTTCTATTTTAAAGAAGCTTAGTTATCCCCGATATTTCCATCAAATTATTGAATAGTTCTTGCCTATTCTCTAGTTCATGGATATAAAGGTCGTTTTTGTTAAGCTGAAGGAAAGATACCTCTGTCAAAATTAGACCATTATTCATTTCGTTGCAAAAATAAAAGTTCTGGAATGACTGGAAAGAACTATTTTCCAGTTCTCACATGGTTAAATCAAATTAGAAAACTTTGTGACTTAAAAAAGTTTAAGATAGATATTACCATGTTTTGGATATTTTCATACCTTTCATAGTTCTTTTTTTTTTTTTGTTCAACTGTGTTTACTTTTGTTAAATCTTTTTCTTTGAAAGAATGATTCATTCCATTCTGGACATTATTTTCATCTTCTCCTTTCTCTTCTTTCTCTCCAACCTGTTCAACTATTTTCTTCGAAATGTTTTTGCCACTGTTTGAAGCTATTAAATTTGCTGTTTCTTGGTTCCATTACCTTCCACACGGGAAGAGACGAGAGGGACGAAGACTTACGGATAGAACAAGGAGTTCTGTTATCGAAATAAATGAATGAACTCGGATGTTCACTTTCTTTTCATTTCGGTGCTCTTTTTACACTTTAATTCTACTTGGTCCGTTTGTTTTCAATGGATGAAAGTTCTCAGTTTGTTGAAGAGAAAAGGCATTTACATTTTCATTGGTCTTTTTCTCTGTCTCTTGTCTCATTCCTTCCTTCCATTCCTGATTTTGAAGAGTTGATTTCTTCAAAAGATCTCATTTAAATGTTTCATTTCAATTTCATTACAAACTTTCAATTTTATCATATGTTTCATAATTTATTCTTGCAGAGAGCAAACTTTGTCACATACAATGTTCAGTGTTTCTTTTAATGATCTAAGCGTTAGTTAATTGATGAGATTGAATCGATTTCATTCATCAGTATTTTTTATTTTATCAACATGTTTTTTTTTTAAAAAAATATTAGCAGTTTTAGAGATATTCATATCAAAACTTCAATTTTTAACAGATTCATATCGTAATTTTTCTTGCAAAAACTTTCATTTAAATTGATGAAATATACATAAATTTCAATTTTTTACAACACAACATAACCAAATAGTTGAAATCCATCTTCTTCTGAGTTAAAGTCCATCATGAATCTTGCTATGAGTTTGTCGTTATCCCTCCCTTTTTACTAAGTTATTTCTGTTTTCTTCCTTCCTTTAATTTAAAATCATTGTAGTTGATGTTGACGATTTTATGATGTTTATAAACTCATATATTTGTGTTTGCTGTGCGTCAACGTGTTGATGATGATGATGACAGATGAATTACAGATAGCATTAGCATCAGTGTTCCTTAACGCATAAGCATTTGAGAACGGTCTTCTCAAACCGGGCTGATTCATGCACTTTTCCTGTATCTTTCCATCTCTCTCAAAAATATTTCTAACTTGAAAAGGATTGGATGTTTCACTTATAAGAAAATGTGTCTAATTCACAATAAGCACCATTCCACATTTGTTTTCTTTTTTTTCACTTAGTTTGAAACATTGCATTAAAGTTTTGTGCAAGTTTCGTTTCTCATTCATCCGATAATTGTCATTAAAAATCGATACCATCTATAAGCTGATCGCAATTCTTTGATGCAACTCTAAACTTTATAATTCTAAAAGTAATATGAAAAGAGCCCATTTGATTTCTGTTAAATCTATCTTGTATCACTTCTCCAGTAAGCATCTGTTGTTCTTCCTATCTCTCAACCCAGTGTCACCAATTTCCCGAAATGTAACATTTTTAAGTTGATATTTGTTGTATTTATGACTTTCATAGCAGGGAATTAGTCTCTTTTTTTGATCTTTTATCAAATACCAACTTTATTGGAATTTCACTACTATTATAGAGTTGTGTGTAAGAAAAAGATTGCTTATATACTTATATAATTATAAGATTGCTTATGCTTATATAATTTAATTAAGGTGGACAATTTCTCTCTCCCCCGTTCATCAACTGAATGCAGTTTATCCATATCTTTCTAGAAGTAATCCTGCAACTGAAAAAATAGATTTTGAGAAATAAGCCATTCCAGCTGGATCTATGATTTTCTTGTCCAAAATATACCTGGACAATGTAACAAACATGTATTAAAGTACCTATTTTACACTTTTATTGTTGAGAAAAAAATTATGAAAATGAAAATTTTCATTTACATTATTTTCTATAGTGAAATTATTTCCATTTGAATTCCTTCCCGAATATTGGTGTCATAAATGCAAGAGAAAAATTTGATCATATTTTTCTCCGAAGACAGAAAGTGCTCTATTTCTATAATTCGTTTTTTTTTTTTTTTTTTTTTTTTTTTTTTTTTTTAAATAACTTTAAATTTTAGTAACAATCTCTTAAATTAAGATGAATTTGTATTCATGTTGAAATTTCATTTTCATGGAATATATTCGTTTCTGGGAAATAGTTTTCCCTACTCCAACACAAATACGAATAGAAAATCTAAAAATTGAAGTAGAATTTTTATGATGAAAACAGGAAACGGTAAGGAAGCTAAGCTTCTTTCCTCTAAAACTGTAAACATAAGAAATTATTGTCTTTCTCTTTCTTTTTTTTTTGTTCTGCTGGTGAGAAATAAATGATCTGTTTTCGAGGTAAATTTCTTTAAAGAATACTTTTTCATCCTTTTTTTCATTCCTATTTAATTAAATTCATTCTCTAAGTTTCGCTTATTATTTCTTTTCGAACATTTCTGTTTTTCCTTAAAGGATCGGTGAAAAGACTTTCTTTTCTATTTTAAGTAAATTTTTCTCAGTCCCTCATATTGCTGCAATTGCACTTGTTCACTGGTGGTAGTTCTCTTTAGTGTTTGAAAATTCGATGTGGATACTTCAGGAAAAAGAGAAGTATTAACGACTAAGCGATTTCATACAGATCGATAAAAATTTACCGATAACTTGAACTGTCAAAAACTTGATGAATGATTAGCAAAGGTTAATTCTAAAGTTGATATGATGAGTCTCATTTTGAGTCTCGAATTGTAGTTACTATTATGTGCTATATCACCAGATAAATTTGCTAGAAATGATAATCTTTCATGATTTTCTATCCTTACTGTAATTTTATCTCTGTAAACTGTGGAATGTAGATTTAGCAAAATAAAACAGATATTTCAGTTTCTCACATTATTTATGTTTTTTTCGTTATTCGGATTTGTTTGTGCTACCAATTGGCATAGAAAGTATTTTTATTGCTGCGTATTGTTAATGTCGTATATGACGAAATCTGATTCTATATTGCATATAAGAAAATTAAACTTAATAATTGATCGTTATACATATAGTTCTAGGTTCATCGCCATCGTCACCATCACGAACTACAGTTGGAAGTACAGAAATAGCAGAAATGATGCATGCTCAAGAGGTATCTAAGAGCCGAAGTAACACAAGTCGGAATCTACAGTCACAACAAAACAGCGACAATAATGACGGTACGGCAATGCTAATACGTGGGGCAACGGATGATGACCGAAGACGAAAACGTTTTCGCCATCGTGTCAACAAGAAGGGATTAAATAGTAGTACTACAGGCAATAGCGTTTGTCGAACGGTTGGAAAGTTGGATATAAATAGTACATGTTTACTTCTTTATTTTTTGCATGCTTTTATTATTGTATGCATTGCTCTATATCATCTGTTTGTTAATGATCGGATAATTTCTCTAAAAATATTTATTGAAAGCCAAAATTTTCTGCTGTGAAAGCAATAATAAAATCAAGGTTCAGCTCAGATAACTATCAGTTTGCATTTACTCTGAATCCATATCTGCTTCATGGAATTGTATTTTTAATTCTTTAATACATTTTTAACTAGAACTAATAAATAGAAACTATCAAATTTAGCTTGAATTCTGTTACAAATTAGATCAAATTTTCTTCTTATGGTTTACACTGATAATCCATAAAGTGAGCATGGATTTTGCAGACGAAGTAATACAGCAGGAACAGGTGCAACAGGAAACAACTATTACAGATGGAAAGATGATGAAAACGCCGAGTGATTTCAAGGATGCTTATTGGTTGGCTAATTTGCATGTTTAGTTTTTGTTTTTTTGTGATGTATTAATATGTACTTTCACTTATTTATTTTTATATTCCAGGTACTATGATCCAAAAACTGATGGATTTTATTATGACTCGAAAGGTTCCCGTGGTTGGCGTCGACGAAATCCTGCTCATGAAAAGAAGCAACTTCATAGAGTAGCTTTTGTTGTTAAAATCGTTACCTTTTTTCGAGTGGTTTAAGTTTGACATCATAGAAGCAGTGTTTGATGTAATTAGTTTTAGAAATATTGTAAATACTGTTTTCTAGGATGCAGTATCCTGTTTGTGGGCTGATCCAAATCTTGCATCATATGGTGGAGGCGATCCATATGGATATCAGTATAACAATCACTTTTCTCCTCATATTCAGTAGGCTCTTTTTTTGAATTTTCCATTATTAATAGCAAAATAAAACTGTAATGTAAAGGTAACGCACATAAGGTCTTTCCAGATATTATGATCCAGAAACTGACGGATACTATTTTGAAATGCCTTCCGTTGATGGCTGGAAGAAGCGGCAACCACATTCAATTAGCAGCACCGGTACGCCATCGCTAATGAGTTACAACAGCGGTCGAATGGTGACGGATTCAAATGCCCTTCCTGCAATATCTGCACAGTCAACAGTTGCCGATGCCGTAGATGTACCACGAACGTCTTACGGCGCTGCTTTAGCTCGAGGACAGTTACCACCATGCACTGTGAGAAATAATAATGCTATTACGAGTACTTCCAAAAATGTTAGTTTTCAAGTTCATTTCAAATTTCCTAATTCCTATTATATGTATTAAAATAAGGCTTCTTTGCAGATAAATGAAGTAATGAAAGACACTTTTTCGAATGCTGAGTTACCGTTTTCAACACTCTCATCGAACGATGATTTTAACGCTGCATCTTCAGTATGTTTTTTTTTTTTTTTTTTATTTTATATCCGTTCTGAAGATTCAGTGTCATTTTTATTCAAATTATGTTATTTTCGATGGATTGCGAAGTTTAATAATATTCGTATTTAATTAAGGAATCTCGCCCAACTAAGTTAAAGAAATGATTTGGGCGACCATACTATATTGGTTGACATGAATTGAAAATTTAACAAAATATAAAAGAAATATAGCGATAGTATTTCTTTACAAAAAATTGATTCTAGCGCTTTAGATTTGTCTTTTTTACATTATTATTGTAGATGTTATTTGACAAAACCTCAACAAAATGGGATAAAAAAGGAAACAGCCAAGGAAACTGTAATACACAAAAGCCCTTCTCATATGCAGACATTGTGGCTTCATCATGTGATACAACAGCTAATGTTGATGATATTGAGAACAGCCCTCCTCCTCAACAGATCGTGGTTAGTTTTTTTCTTCTTGATCTTCAGTTTAGCACTTATCATTTTTAGCAATTGCACATGGACTTAAGTTTGTATGAGTGAATTCAGTTCAATGAACTCGATATTTTTAAATTCTAGATTAAAATTAATATGGATAATTTTATAGGACAGTCCCTATAAACGACCGGAAACATTGGAATTACATAGTTTTGCGGGAGAGAACGATGTTGCTTCATTAACAAATGAAAAGGACACAAAACGAACTGGGCTGACTAATTTTAATGCAGATAAATTCATCGCTGACCTTCCCTTCAAGTAAATTTTGTTATTTGAAAAGAAGACTTAAGGAATAGACAATCGTTTTAAAATATATATATCAAAAGGCAAAACCATATAAATAATTTCAGTAGCACTGATCGAATATTGAGAGATTTAGCAGCACTGAAAACACCATGTTCAGCACCAGTTTGCAGTATGGATTCTCCTCACACACCATCATCTGTCATAAAAGGGTTGTATTCACCGTTAGGAATTCCAAACCAGGACATTGATGCTTACAATGCTTTGTTAGCTTTTTTCATTTTTTAATTAAATTATTCAATATTGCTGTTTATATTTATTCGTCTTTCAGTTCCCTGTGTACTTCAGTTTTTTGAATTTTAGACGTAGTTTCATTTGATTTGTTTGTACAAAAACTTGCATTTCATTTTAGCTGCGATATGGAATTAGTGTTGAGTCAGATTTTAAGTTGTGCTGACGAGAAGGAATGGGTACCAGAGAGAGCCTCAGCAGGGACATCGAAATTAAATTTTTGGCGTAATTCTGGTCTGGTTGCTGGAGTCGCTGGTGTTTCATGTGACAATGTGTGAGGAACTAAAAGAATCTAAGTCGATCGCATCAGCTTTCATGTTTCAGAGTTCAATTGCCAATAGTTTTTACAAGTTCATAAAAGTTTAATAATTTCTAGTTTTATTCGCTTAAAATTAAGTTCGAATTTTTTCAAAAGCATTCGTTTTTTTTTTATAGGTGTGAAATTTCATTGTTTAATTAATTGAGTATTCCATCTCGAATGTTCATTTTCTTTTCTTTTCTTTCTTTTTTTTTTTTTTTTTTTTTTTTTTTTTGTTTTGTTTTCTGCTTTCAGTGTTTTCTGCACAAATATTCTGTTTAGGTCCTTTTGAAATAATTACAATTTGTCATCGCTATATTTGTTCACTTTATGTGAATATTTTTAGGGAAATTAGGCGATACATTTTTTCATCGTTCAGAGTTCTGTTCTTGTATTTTCAGCTGAATTTCTTTGGCTGTATTTTTACATACGTTATTAAATTTAAGTGTAATTTTTTTCTAAGGCTTTATGTTTCATTTTTGAACTGTTATCTGCAGTGAGAATGTTGAGTTTAGGATTTTCCGGAAAGAATTTTATGTTTATGTTCGCTAGGTTTAATTAGGTTATGCTTTTTTCTCACTTTCAAGTGTACAACATCTTTCCACAATTCTGATTATCTCTATTCCTTAATCCACTTCTACCTGTCATACCACTTATAATCAAATTCTTCACTTTTCTGTTATGCTGTATATCTTCTTAGTTCGTCAACATTAGCGTCATTAGGCTTTTCTGTTGATTTTATGTCTCAATGTAGATCCATTTCTATCTCTTTCTCTTTAATATGTTACGAAATATTAATATTATGAAGAGATTGTGCGCAATTAGAGCAGAAGTAACCTTCAAAGAAGGGTTCTTCTTTTAGGAATAATAATTAAGTCATTTGTCTTTTGAAGGCACTTAATAGAATATTTGGAGTACTGCAGTTCATGTATATTTATTTTCACTTCTTTCCATTTCCTTTTCATACGTTTCTGACTTTGTAAAACTTTTTTCGAAATCAGTTATAATCTCTATTCTTCTTCAGCATCATTTTATTTCCATTCTGGCATTAAATATAAAACATTCCACCCTTTCTGATCTAGCACCTTGGCAAATAATTGTGGATTCCTTTAAGAGTAGATCTAATTTCTACATTTTTTTTTATTTGAAAAATGAAAAGAATTTTAATGCAAGAGTTTACGTCTTTAAATGGATCTCTTCACAGTGTGATTCTGGAGTCTTACTTTACTGGAATTTTATTCTTGAATTATTTTTGATATTCCTAAAGTTTGTTTTTAATTAATCTCTTTGTCTTCGCTTAGTGATCCCATTACTTTCTGCATTGATCACTTTATCAATTTCATCAAAATAGTTGCTGTTAAAGGCAAGTTTGTCTTCTCAGAATGTTTACTGTTCACTTTGTTCTGAGTATTATCTCTTTAAAGGAATTATCAAAAATAAGCAATCTGAGATATAATTCGAAAAAACTAAAAAAAAACAAAAAACTACTAAATTCGAGGTTCTTGCAAAATTTCCAACGTTTCAAAATCCACGTGTTTTTCAGAATGTATTCTATTTATCCATTGTAGTATTTTCACGTTAGTCCATTCTAGCAACAAAATCATAACTGTTTCAAAATTTTTTCCTCCTTCATTATTCAAATTGTTTGAAAGATTCTCTTCTGTCTATCAAAAAAGCTTGCGCACTAGGATATGAAAAAGGCATAAAATATCATTTATTATCTGTTCTTTTACATAAAATTTCAATGGTCAGTTGAAGTCACTCTCAAATGGTTTCTAAATTTATAAAAAGAAAGACGTTTTGAATAATACTGCGTGTATGTCTGAGTCGAATTTACTTTTGATCTGAACTGAAATTATTGTGAAGTGCTCGATGGTCAGTAAGTAGATATTTCAAGGTCGGGGTTTTCTTATTTAGAAAATTAAAAATCTATGGAGGCCTGAAAAGGAGTCGATGAAAGGAAAGTGTAATGTTCATACAGTTAGTAATATGTTGTTGAAATCAGGAACTTCATATTATGTTCCAGGACGTAATTCATTGTTGCATTATGACACATGGTACATTTCATTACATTTACTGATAACTGCTAGACTGCATTTTGGTTTTGGTACCGAAGAAATTTATATTCTGCAGAAAATGATCGAAGGTTGCTACCTCTGACCCCACTACATTGTGCCATCGCATAATAATCATTGACCATCATTTATAAGTTCCTTCCCTTTCTTTACGGTGATCCCAGGTTTTCTCTCTAAGTCAGTTCTTCAAAAAAAAAAAAAACACTATCCCAAGGGAATTTTTCTGTAATTTCGATTCTATATAAATTACAAACATTTATTCAAGTTTGTCCTTAATGAGAAATTAATTATTCAAAATTTGTAAAATAGAGAAGAGTGTAATGCTGTTTGATTTATTTCTCAGACCGCAGTTGATGTCAACCTTATGTTACCTGAAATTGCTGAGCTGGTGCTATGGATAGCTGACACCGCTGTACTAATTTTCATAAAAATGATTGTAGAAATATATTGGATTGTATGATAAGATGATGATACGGAATCAATAAAATAATTGTAGAGAATGACAGGCGACATTTCATCGGCTCCACCACCATACACTCCTACGTCAGGTATTGAAACGAAATCAGCAATGTTCCCGACATCGCAACCGGATTCAGTGCAATTGCTGTATCAACCACAACATTCGTTACCACCATGTTTGCAAAAATGCACCTTTTCATCCTCGTTGACACAAGCGTCAACAGAACCAATCATCATGCCAATTGTGATGACACAACGTGATATTTTTCTCTGCTAAATTAAAAAGTTTCTCTTTCAAGAATTACTTCCTTAAAATAACATGCAAGAAGCATGTATTAGTTTAGTCTTTTCCCTCCTCTAATTAGTTTCATTAATTTTTTAGCAAATGTAGCACCATATCCCTACCAACAACAAATGTCGGATAAGCCAGTAAACGTTGTTGTTAATGCTAATAGTAGAACTGAAGAAAACAGTTTAGGAAGAGATTACAGGATATGTAATTTCTGCAAACGTGGAATTATGAAAAAGAAGAAGTACGTCTCACTTTCGCTTTATTTAATTTGATGTTTTATTTGGCTATACCTAATGGTACCCTTGTATGTCTGGAATTTTTGTCCCTGAGCAAGTTTTGCGAAAATTGTTTTTGTACATTTATTATATATGTAAATTATTCATTCTTTTGTCAGTGTTCTGCTTGTGATTATTTTTATTTTTCAGGGACTGGCTGAGGGTTACAGCAATTTTACTTGTGAGTATACTCTTCCCACCGCTTTCATTTTTATGTTGTTTTTTCCTATGCACTCGTGTGATTTACTTTGGCGAATGTTCCGCTTGTCATCGTATTTCAAAAAAAGAACATAGGTAAGTACTTTCAATATTTTCATCTATAAAAAAGTCTAAATTTCAAAAAAAAAAACACTTAAGTAGACCATCAATTCTACTGATTGTTCCACTTATTTTCGAAGTTGAGTTTTGCTTTTGGAAATTCAGTTTAGTTATCATTCCTTTTTTTTCCCAAATCCGTTTGACCTAGATTTCAATTCTTTGAGACACAGTCATGACAGTATTAAACATCAATCAGGTTACGCCGCATTTTCGTAAATTTTTCATTCCCTCTAAATTTCCTTTGTGCAGAAGGCAACGTGGATGTTGCCATTGATAAATTCTGGAATTGTGCAATACAAAAACCACTTGCAGGGCATTTTGAACTGCTCGAGGAAAACAATTACCCAACATCAGGAAACTATCAAATTTCTTTCTGTATTTACATCAAAAGATTCATTCATGTGAGTTAGAAATGTTGCAATAGTTCACTTTCACTAAGTTTTAAATTTGCATATATCTGTCGTTAGTGTTTTGTAACCTATCTAGATAAAAATTTCCCATTTTCTTCGGAAAATCTGACCAGATAAAATATTAATTTAGAAGAGTTCCATGATTTCCTATCTATCTGAGTTAAGCTAGAAAAAAACATCCAAGAAATTTTTTTCTGCACCAATTGGGAGAAATGTGAAGAATTTAACAGATGGCAATGATTGGCATGGAACAATCTTGGCAAAAATTTTAATGACTCATTCAAAAGCAATTGAATATTCCATACTGGTGATCCAAACAGTTTGAAACCGAGAAGATTTTCGAGTATTAGTGGTCTAAAATCAGACTAGTGATACTCAAAAATCCTAGTTTCGCCGTAGAGATGATTATACCTCATCTTTACCAATGATATTAATGAATGCAATATTTAACTTTTCCAGCTATATCTTCCGTGAAAAACTGGTGCCTCTACATGTCTCCTACTCATGCAGTCCTAAAATTCCTCAATCCAAAAACAATGAAATTGAAAGTAAAGTCAGCTTCCTATATTCCTACACAGTCATGCTATAATGAAATGTTTCCAACAGAACATTTAAATGCACAAGAAATATATATCAATTTGTTTTGAAACGTTTAGTGTCAGTTTCGTGTTGCGAATCCGTCGATGATACTCCCAAAACTGGTATAGTTCCAGGAAAACTTAGAGGGCCACTAGAAGACTCTGCAGTACTCCGATGAGCAGGAATTAGAGGGACACTTGATGGTGATGTAAAAGCAGGCTGTTGGCTAATTCCCGATGTTGGATCTTCCGTTGCCGTCAAATTCTGATTGTTTACAGACGAACTCTGTACAGATTTCTCAACTACACCACTAGTGTCGTTTTCTACAGATATTTCATTTCCAGCAAAATTAAACTGCTAAAAATATTTAGCGTAATGGGGTGAAGTTATATTCGATATTTTAAAAATACTAAATTTTGATCTTAATTTATGTTTTCCAAATTCCCAGAAACTTCAGTCTATTCTAAAGCTGGAAATATTTCAGAAAATCAATAATGTAAAGACTTCACAAAGATACATACAACGTCGTCAGGAGGTGGAAATTTAGCAAAAAGTTCCCGCAATATCTGATCCGTCCGAGTTCGTTGATAAAAAGTACTTCGGGCAAGCTGTGGCTTTTCTTCCTCTTCTGTTGCCTGAAATAATCATTTGAAATAAGAAATTTTAAAGAGTTAAGCAAAAGGAATAAATCTTTGGCATTTTAACATACTTTTTTGACAGTTTCACCATTCGAATCTTTGAATTCCCAATAATATCCTTTAGCAATATTGAATCTGAAAACATCCCGAAATTCATAATCTATAAAAATAGCGAAAATACCTGAAAAGCAGAAATGAGGAAAATTGCTGCTACGAAATAGATAAGAATACCTATTAAAATTCCGAGCTTGTTCAAGAGCTTGTCGAAGTGGATCAACAATACTAATCAATTTTGATTGAATATATGTATAAATATCCGGACATTGATACACTGTTCCATTTACTATGTAGTAATAGGCCAGAGGTGTAACTTAAAGAATTACTGTGATTACTGTGTACTTATTACAATATATTTTTTGTTAACAATCCATTGTACATTTGAGGAAGCTGTACATGCATATGGAATACAGGGTACTAAATCAATGCGTGATTACCATTTGTAGGACTATTCCGACGCTGTTTCATTATAACATACAATGGAGGGAAAGTGCCAACAACTGTATATTGGATACCTTGCATAGACCTGAAGAATACACTAAAATTCAATTTCTTTACTGACCAATTTGTGTTCAAATCTAATAATTGGTCATTTAAAGAAAATCAGTAGTCTAGGATCATCACAGTTTCCGCCGTTTTAAACAAAAGTTTGTAAAACCAGCAATCGAGTCTCATCGTTCAAGTTTGTCCAGGCTTTTTGGTAGTTTTTCAGGCTTTGACATTTAGGATTATCAACAAATAATATTCAACAAAGCTTTCCTGAATTAATTGGTCGTTTTAAAACACCGAGTTTATAAAAGTTCTATTTTTAAAATAGCTCCCTAGCGAGTTTTTTTGTTGGCGCAGCTTCCTTTGCGCCAATATATGCCATGAATACTCTCGCGCACACTTAAAGAAATAAGGATTTGGTAGATGATTCGAGCCAGAAAAATGGAATGGGATTAGAAAGCAAGTTGAGCTAAGAATAAAACTTACTGTAGACATTCGTGCAAAGGTCGATTAAGATTTTGCATTCTGATATGCTGATTGCACGAAGAAACATCGTAAAAAACATTTCCTGGATCGCAAAAATAATCCAAAACGTTATCGGGAGTTATGAAATTTGGAGGCCAGTTCGGATTTTTGAATGACTGATGAAGCAAGGAAACAATATGTTGATATGAAGAACCAGACTGGGAAACGACATTTGGTACACCCATGTAGGAACCTGTTAATAAAATTATTCTTGTTGTGATATGACGCTGATATTAAACAGAACTTTAATGAAATTGAGTCATGTGAAAAGCAAGATGTAAAATCCCATTTCTTGGTTACTAAAAATAACTACCATAATCGGGAAATTATGTTCGTTGAGATTTAATCTCTTATAATTTATGAATAACAAAAAGGCTATACCTGTTAAAAATTATCAGACAGTAGGAAACTCAGCTTTTTACTCCTTAGAGTAAGTGGTTATTGGAAGTTCTATTTTTCAGATGATTTCCTAGCAATGTGTACCAAATCAGACAAAAATAAATACTGATCTAATTCATAAGTAACTCCATTAATATTTGCAGAAAGCATTAAAATTGAATTCATAGTCTTTTAAAGTTTATAATGCTAGACCGTCCGAACAAAATTTCAGCAATACATTCACAAACAGTTAAATTCAGATTACACAGCATCACCACAATGTTCCACTCTGAGGAATACTCGATTTTGTAAAAAGTGCAATGAGATAATGAAATCTATGCCTATTTGATCTCAATTAAAAAATCCTTTTATTATGAAATATTGCAGCTGGGGGAAAAATCTTTGGATGAATATTAAAAAAAAAAAAAAGAAAACGACCGAGAATTAGTCAGTAAAACAAAAATGAAGCAGTAACAAGTACGGTATACCTTGTGTCTGTCCCATCATGACTGACCGACTCGGTCCACCAGCCTGCATCATTCTTCTCTCTCCTGAAACATTACCACTGCAAATTACAGAAACAAAATATACCTCATTATGTCCTTCCACTGAATGCATGAGCTTAAATAAGTACAGTACCCAATAATATGGTATAAATAAATAGCGAACCCGACAACAAAAAGTTTATTTAAATAATTATCATCACAATTACGTAAAACAAATGAAGCTTCAAACTTCATTTATCTGTTAGATACGTCACTCCTTGGCTTCATTACTGTGGCCAAATAATCCTAAATTTGATATCTTTCACATTATTAAATTGTTCTTTTGCTCAATATTCCAACAATTTTAGTGTTTCGGAAAATCAGTTACAAGGAAATGATGAGGCAAATGAAATCAAAAATCACTTGTTACATTGCAGACGATTGATTTCTGATGATTGAAATTTTTTAGTAGCATGTAGTCAAAATTCCGCACTAAATTGAAGTAAATCTCAGTTTTCTTTAATTCTGGTACAACTGATATTTGTAGTGACAACAATCCAGTATCAAACAGTATAATCAAAATTCAAGTAATCACATGGCTCGATTGTCTCATCTTTCCCAAGCAACAAATCCCAGTGTAAATGTGAACTACGCGATATTCCCGGAGGTCCACGGTTTATCTGAGACGCTGTTTTCAATTCTCTAAAAAAGAATGATGCACTTTCGAAGGAATTTTCAACAAACAGTAACGCACATTGAAACTTTAGGAATAAATTCTGAACTAATTTTCATTTCCAAGTAGAAAAATTAGGGATGAAACAATAATTTTAATTTCTCTTTCAAAAATATGGATACACTCCTCAATAAAATCAAAAATTGTTTGAGACAATTATCCTTCGTGTTTTGTAGGTCACTAGATGATATACGTCAACTTAACTACTGCGATGCTTATCAAATTACTCTCCAGCGCTGTATTCTACAGATGTCGATAACGGTATCATATGAATGAAGGTATGTGTATCACTTACCTCAAAAAATGTTCAGCATATGCATTTCCACCAATTGTACGACATTCATCGATAACATTTGCAACAGTTCTACGCATTCGAGAATGCTTGCCTAACAATTCATGATCGTTCTGATTTGTCACCAAATCTGCAAAATTATATATATATATATATATATATATAATTTATTTTTTACGAAAACATCAAACAAACAAACACCTTTTGACACTTAAAAAAATTGAGATTTTCCAGAACTAACATTTGGGTGCTTCCAGATCTTTTTTATACACGGCTGCAGATCGATTCAGTGATTTCGTATCGTCAAGTGGAATCAAATGTGACACTTGTTTTGGACTATCAAGCAAAAGTAGATCTGGTTGAACTTTTGATAAAGAATCTGATGACATCTCCCTTAACCTGAAAAAGTTGACTTTACTTATATGTTTTTTGAGTAATAAATATTTTACTTATTGCTCAGCAAAAATCTTTTTACACTATGAAATGATTAGGATATGGAAAGACATACCTTCAAGAAAAAGAAAACGCGAACAAACCACTAGTGAGAATTAAAAAATTGTAAAGTATACAAAAAATTAGAAAAGTAAATAATAAACACTAAAATGCATTTTTAGAGCGGAAGTAATCTGAATGATATATTCACTATGAACTCCTTAAATACTATTACAATAATCAAATAGCTGACCAGGTAAAAACTAACCCATACATGCCACAACAAAGCAATGAATAATCGCTAAGCATGTGATGCAGAACGATACAAAGGGGAGAAATATGGTGATCTCTGCATGGATATACAAAGAACTGGCTTGTAAAAGTGCTGAATACTTTAACAATATTCATCCCTCCATCTATTTTATAAAGATTACTTCCTATGGAATATATTAGGTTACGTACAGTCTCTTATGAGAGCGAGAAAAAATTCTTTATAGAAACAAAGTTATTTGTAAATCAGCCATAAATAAGTAAAACAATATTGCACTGATCTTCTGCAGAAGACAGAGAAGTCAAACAAGTTAGTAAGGAACGTAAATATGAAACCATGTGAGAGAAAAACTGAAATAATGAAGAAAACACGGTGTCCAGCTAAACGTTTTCATGACGAACACGATAATGAGATTTGTTGAAGCTAAATGGATTAAATCCCATCGTTCAACTACGGATATTTATTCCAACATGTACCCAAAAGATTGGCTATGTTAAAAGCTGAAAGAAACAAAACAGGCACGAGACGCCCGTTTTCACTGCAACCAGGCAGAGAGATCTAGATTTTCATAGCCAATAATGATGGCAAGGAGCGATTGGTTGATTATGAAAATGATGGTCCCATTCATGAAATCGTTAAAATATAAGACGTTTGTTTGTTCTCGTATGTTTCATTTCAGTAGAAGGAACTGGCCTTGTTGTTGTCTGGTTCTGTAGTATTGCTAGCGACTATGAAATTTCTCGAGTAAAGATCATTACGAGTCAAAGTTGGAAATCTCGATCGCGTTACTCAGCAACAGAGATTACTTCTCATAGTTGAACGAAGCTGTTTCAGTAATCACAAGTAGTACTTTTTGATCAATGCATTTTGGAATCTATTCAGTGTATTTCTCATTTTTGCATAATGCATTGGAAAATCAGTGCTTAGAAATGTGTAGTGTTTGGCTAGCCGAAAAGAGACTCGACTGGATGTTGTTTGATTCAACTCAATCATCTTCATTTTTTATAATTCCTCAAATCAAAAAGCAAGAAGTATTTTAATCTGAAATGGAATCAAACTATATTACAATTAATAAGTGAAAGCAACAGTGTGAACTTCAAAATAATTCAAGCTGATATGGTGCCATGTATGTTTTCTACATGTAGATCAAATTTAAATTACTGCATCGTAATCCATGTAGCGGAGAAATAATCTTTCATCATAAACGTAAGATATCGAACTATGGATCACAGCAGCCCAACACCCTTGGAAAACAATATATAACATATATAGTAGTATGTTTCAAATTTGTTTTCAACTGAGATGTGTCTGTAATTCATCGTCCCAGTCGTACGGTTCATCCATTTTCACACCGTAATTTTTCATTGTTAGTTGTAGCATTTGTGTTAAAAACTTGTGATCCGGCTGACTATGATATGTCAAGGAATCAATGTAATTTAGAATACGTCGAAATTCAACCTATAACTTTGTCTTGCTGTTACTTTTCTCCATTTTTATTAACATAATTCCCGAGGATTTTAAGTGTTTTTTCTTTAATTCTGAAGTCTAAAAAAAAATATAAATATATTAAAACATTTACTAAACATCTACTTTTCATCACTGAACTAGTCACAGTTATTGGAAGCGTAGATAAATGACTAACAAACAAGAAAAGGAAAAGAAGTGAATGAGCTTGAAAAAAAAAATGATTAATTTTCGTTAAATTTTCAGTTAAATTTTCAGCAACGAAAATTTCAAAAAAAGTAACCTTTGGGCAGTCTTTGAGGAGTGTTTTAAGTGAATCGGATGATCGACACTGCTCCTTCTTACGCTCAATTTCTTTACGATCTGTTCGATGAATGTTACCCCATGGAAGTTCTCCTGAAATACTGTAGTTTAACGGAGCAAATCTTCAATCTCTAATTTGGAATAAAACATATGTCCAGGAAAGAGTCATTGCGAGTTCTGTACTTATTGTACTAATGGTTATACCAGAAAGCATTTCGATAAGCATATAGAACCACGACTCGAGATCGTCTTTCGGCGATATTTCCTCCTCTCGATGTGCTGCCAGTGATGCGTAACGTGCAGTCCCTCTGTAATTCTCCAAGTTTTTAAAAATTACTGTTTTCAGTTAAGCAAAATAAGGGTAACTTTAATCAGTAAAAGAGTTTCTCTTAAGTTAAGTACTTTTCTGCCGGTATTTTAGTGAATTATAAAATAACTTTCAAATTTCAAAAAATCATACTGCTACAAAGAGACCTAAATGAAGTTTTATTCCTAGGTGGTTTAATTCCATCCTTGAGATTTCGATACATTCGACAAAGTCCGAAATCAATTAAATACACATTCATCTTTGATTCAGCAGGATCGCTTATTGCAAAATTTGATGCCTACAATTTTTGAAATTAACTTGCCTTTGCTCCAAATGATTTCAGTTTTTTTGTTTAAAATTGTCCAGTATGTCATCTTAAATCCACCTCATAATTTCTTCTAGAAATTAAGTGATGAAGCTTTTGTTTGAGAAACGTAAAAATACCTTCAACTTCCCTCAATGAAAATGCAATATATTTATTGAAATTTTAAATTCTAAGGAGTTATGCTATACAGCAGTAACTTTTGTAATTGAAGATGATAAACAAATAAAAGATAAAGATGAACTTTAACATCCCTGTGGACAAATCCCATTGAATGCAATTCTTCCAAAGCAGCTAGTGTCTGAATTCCAAGTCGAAGTGAAGTTGATAACGAAAAGTGACATTCAACAAATGCATGTCTCAGTTTATGTAGATTGTCACCAAGCTAAAAGGTAGCTTTAAAAAGAGTATTGCTATGCAGCAATGAATGTGTTAATATGGCTCACAATTCACCTTTGCGGTTATTTCGTCAAAAAAAGACGAAAATTACAGAATATTAGTTTAAAATTGACTAAATTTACTTAATTATTTCATACAAATCGAGTGTTTGTGGGTTTCATCTCACCCAAACAATAGATATTGAATAAAGATAACGTCATTAGCAAGTGACCATTTTCATAACGATGAATTTGAAATGTCCCTCGATTTTACCCTGATCGATTAGACTTGCAATATGTTCACATGAGACTTTTGTAGCTTGTGACAATACAATGTAATCCATATTTAAGCCATGAGAATGTGTGTCACATATTTCTAACTTTACTGCAAAACGTCTTCCATCTGTACGCCTTAGTACCTATAACATGTGTTTATTTAATATATTTTCATGGAATTTTCATAAAATTAATAACTAATTCATGATTTTGAGACTTTGAAAACTCAGTGATTGAAATAAACAATATAAATTATAAAACTCTGTCATTATTCACCTCATATACAGCACCAAATCGTCCATGGGAAATTAATCGGCCAATGGCGAATTCAAAATTTCTCCCTTTAATTAGAACATTTTTGTTAGGTAATCGATTTGTAATAAAATTCTGGTCCTTATCACAACTTCCTTCACGTGAATTATCATTCATCGAATCCATCCTACAATAACTGTTATAGTAAATTAGTGAAAGCAGGTGTTGCAAGAATGGCCTTAAAAACTTATACAAAAAAAAAAAAACATCAGAAAATACCGTAAAGGCCTAGTAAATAACTTCAGAATGACAAGGATTTCAGAATTTAGATTAAAAGTTTAACATAGATGTCAGTCTAAAATGTTTTTTTTAATGCCTGATATTGCTAAAAAAATTACTAACAAAACAAATCATATTTTCTTGAAAACGAAATTATTCTTTTGGAAACTTATTCTTCTTATAAACTGCCTTCAGCGCCTGCTTGTGAAACTAGCAGAACTTCAAAAAAAAAATAAATAAATAAAATAAGACACAAAATTTTGGAAAATATTTCCTAAAATTTGTCATGCAGAGACAAATAGCCAAATTAAAAGTTAAAATGGCTCGAAAATGATTGGATACCATGCAAATAAATTATGCTTCGATTTCTATGACCTATACATATCTGTAAAAATTAATGTGTAATTCATCTTTTTTCTTTAAAAATTCTCTTTATACTTGTATATATTTTTTATTTGTATACATTTAAACTTGTATACATTTAAAATATACATTTTCAAATAATTATCATTCTGAAAGTTCAAATATAATTCCTTTTTTCCTGCTAAATTAAAAAAGAAAAGAAGCATATTGGTATTGTCTCTCTATTTGTAATGACTCATTCTATATACTTCTGCGATTTCTGAGTCTTTTACTTCACTTTCTTTTCCAGTTAGATTTAATGATTTGATCATAAGATAACAAAAGAAATCACTTCCCGCATAAAGAAAAAGTAAATGATAAGGGGGAATAATCCAATCGATCGATCATCCAACTCATTTCTCTCATCCATCCATTAACTTTTTGATATTTATTTGCCCAATCGATTGTACGATATTTCGTATAAGCTATTTAAATTAAAAACTAGTTTACTTCTTACTACTCATCATTGATACTGCTAATGAAACTGTCAAAAACTGCTGATTCTCGATCAAAATATAAGTGATAGAATGGCAAAGTTAAAAAGCACAAAATATACCACTACAATTGGCAAAATAAAAATTAAATGAATAGCATTGTAGCTACCATTTGGGACAACTACAAAAATTCTCGATAGATTGATGCTAATATCAACCATAATTTGTTCGCATATGATTGCTTTAGAAAATTTCACTTACAAATGAGTT